ATGATAAAAGTATTTGTTCGAAGAATTTTAGACAGACACGTACATATAGAAAAGAGAATGTAGTTTTTGTTAAGCTACATCGGATGAATAAACTGTCGATCTTTCTTTTGTCCGTTGAACGCGGGACTGAAATATTCACGGGAAAGAAGTAGGAGCTATTTTACAAAGGGAATCAGCGATGGAATTGTTTTGCGTCAGAGAAAATTCGTGCGCCTCCGCGGCGCGGGTTGAAAAATCCGGTTAGTAAAGTGTGCCGATGGTGTATAATTGAAACGCTAGAATATTCCCTTTGTTTCGCCTTTCTCTGACTTCCTTCCTTCCTTCCTTCCGTTGTCATTCTGCAGAGCTACAATATTTCCAACTTCGGTGTTCTCCGGTTGGTATTTATATTTGCACGGTTTGCAAACGTTCGACTGAAACGGCGTGCTTCTTTGTGCTCCGGCCGGAAATACCAACCGAAATGAATTAATACATGATGTTTACGTACGGTGAGCATCGGCAACAGAAGTAGGAGTGATCTAACCGAAAGAGGGTTACTTGTTACGGGGGAGAAGAGTTAGTAAAAGATATTAAAGCTCATTCATATCTTTGACCGAAAATATGCGGCGGAGCGTGCACGCTGCTTTCGCCTTGGCACCGTACATAATGAGAATGTTTTAATACGCGTTACAGCAAATGCTTACTCAATGTTCGATAATAACTGTAATAGAAGCAACGAGACGGTAAAACATGCTGCGCGCTTAACTGGTTTCTAAGCGCGTATGTACGACGTGATATCTGCGTATCTCTGTATGAACGCGGAAGAAAAGTCGAGTCCACTTAATGACTAATGAATTTAATTACAAATTGGAGCAGTAACGCGATAATAAAATCTATTTTGATCAAACGTAACGGTGACACTTTCGACATAACTGTGGTTGCGGCTCAGCGCGAAATCGCAGCAGATTGTTTTTTCTCTTAAGAAGTGCAATGATGCGAATAAAATTAGTCTGACCGCGATCTAAGCGATATTCCAAAGAAAAATGACAGCAACGAAAATTATTGCTCAGGGAGGCAAAAAATATGACCGTAGTATTTAATATTGCTGATTTTCTCTTTCTCTGGATGTACCAAAATTATGTTAATTCGTATACACTACTGAATATATAATACTATTTTATATGTTGTATTATGTAAAGAGTAGAGTCTGTAAACAACCGATAACCGACGAGCATAGAAGGAATCTAACGCTCGGTCTCTTATCTCCGTGCAACTTTTCCAACAGGATAGTCGCTTCGAATCCGGTGATCGAAGACTCGCACGAAACGTCGGGGACGAACCCGCGCGCTTCATGACCAAGAAACACTCGAGAGTCTGTAGGAGCGTGATGTAACGTCCCTCCCTCGATCGAGGAATCCAATAACTGGAAAACGCATCGGAGCGTGTGGAGGTGCCTTCAATTCTCGAAGACCTCCTACTCGTGGAGCGTGTGTGTCGATTCCGCGAGTCGAATCTGTGCGCGAGAAAGAACACCGCGTCCCCTCTGTCGTCTTCCTTCGCTCCGGGGCGAATATCGTGCCCGGCCGCGACCAAGGAGAAAAATAGAAACCAGGTCGCCGGAAAACGACCGACAACCTTTCCAACCCATCCCGTTTGAACAGGATTCGCGACGCAGCGAACGAAAAATGGCCACGTTCTCGTACTCACCGACACAGGAAGTCCCTCTCGCCTAAACAGAGCTCCAAACAGTGCTGTCGGGAGGAGGCGCTCATCGTTCTGCGTACGTGGCCCTGAAGGCGATGGCCCTGAACCCTGTCGATGCACCATGCGCGTTCACATGGCTTCACAGCCAGGCAGCTCTTCTGAGCGTAGATCGTAAACACCGGGAACTGCGATTGCGACAGTGCACCTGAAACAGAATAACAGATTCCTCGGTTAAACTGCAACCTCGTTGACAATTATTCCCACGCTTACAATAACTTAAATAATGAATGAATTCACTGGGGATGAAAACGAAGTTCGATCGGAAATAGAAGCCAGTGTTGAACCCGTTCTAATTCGATAAGAAATTAATACCAGCCGGCGATTTGTTATTCTCAGAGTTGACGAAACTGTCCCGAGCACGGCGCGGCGGCCCGTTATTCTTTCCCTTGTCAAGGTGGTGAGAAAGAGCGAGGGACAGACCGTGTTAAGTGGAGGAATAATTTCTGCACCCTACCCTGCCGCTGTCATATCATCCCCTTTTATGAAATCATAATTAATCTCGGTGGGGTGACGAATAAAGCGGGGTGCTTTTGATCATGATTAGTTGGAAACTTTTTCGCGAGGGGAGCAAGTAACGAGGTACACGTATCATTTAACGCGGTTGTACGATCTATTAATTTAAAAATTAATGGACGAAGCGTGCATATAAAACGGTACTTCGACTAGATTATTTTTACATACATACATACATACACGCATAGAGAACGTGGCCCGAATGTCGATGATGAAATTCTCTTTCGAATTCACATTTAAATACTAATAAGGACGACGAAACGAGCCTTCGGGAGTAACTGTACAAGAATTTTTTCCACCTGATTTATAGGTATAGCAGACAATGTATAATAAGAAGGCATGAAATTTCGCGGTAAATGAGGGTTAGCACGTTCGCCCGAAACACGGAACATCGATTTCCTAGCAGGCGTTAAAGATATTCAATTATCATCTTCTGGAAGGCTTCGCGGGCTAACGACTGTAGCTAATTTTAATGACCGGTGAAAGACCACAACGGTAACCGCAACACGTAAATGAACTTCCTCCGTACCGCGCGGCGTTGCGCGCCGGACTTCGACACGATCTACGATGTCGAATCATTCGTGGAACGTTGGATATAGTACGGCGAAGTAGCAAGATCTTACTCGTTACGGGCCGAGTGGTAAGCGCATTACAGTAATCAGCAGCCACTTCCGGGGGCCTATATGCAGAACACAGGTACCATTTACTCATTATAATGCTACCGCATTACCAGATAATGGAGCATCGTTGGATCGTAAACATTTTACAGGTACGGATGGAATTTTATCCGAGGGATTCTTACCGCTACTGCCACTGCCGCGTTTTCATAATTAAAATCTGAACGGTGAACGTCATACGCGTTGCGTGCACGGGCTTAAGAAGACAAATAACGAAGAAGGAAAAATAAATATAAAATAAATAATGGAAAGCTTCATTGGTTCGAAAGATATTTAATCCATCTGCATATAAATTAAACAATCTCTGTTTACATTGATGATACTATTTGATAACGAGAAATCGTATCATAATAGATGTATTGTAAAACAGTATTTCATCTCACTTTTAAGGTTTATTTTATCTTGGAAACTGCGCATTTATAAACATTCAGTCGGACAGATTTCTTTCACCCTGTTACATCCTTTAAATCTAACGAAAGTACGGTCTGCTTTAAAGAACGTCCAATTAATGAATGAAGAATTTTTGCTCTAGAGCTAGACAGAGCCGGGAAAATTACAGCAAAAATCCCTGGATGCGAACAAGAGGGCACCTTTTAGTGGAGAAGAATACGGTCTTCTAACTTACGTCGCGTTATCATGATCTCCTACGTTAGCTCTGATTCGTAACCCCTGATAGGAACTAGTTAGAAGATAACACTCTCTTACCCAGTTAAGGAAGGGTTAAATCATTTTGTACAGAGAAAATTTATGTCTTCAAGAAAGAACAAAATAAATTACCCAAGTTTCATGATAATTATATTTCAGGGATACATAAACTAATCTTACGAAATATTTCAATTATCATTCTGATTTTTTATAACTTTTGCTAATACGCAAATTGTTTCATGTTTAATTATTTCATCTTGCATGGTTTCATTCATTGGTAGACAATGAGATGTAGCATGACAGATGACTCTTCCAGTAGAAAATTCATCAAAACGACGTTTCATTTGTTGGAAACTGATACGAAAGAATGCACAGAGTCCTGATTAAAAATCCGTAAAACTGTTACCTCACGGGACACGATTTATCAATTACCGAGTCGCTTAGTTAACATGGAAATGGTTCTGGCAAGTAATCAGCGGGTGAATCGATTTCGTAGTCGAACGTAAAAGAACCTTTCCAGCAGAGTCGGTGGGAAGAAGCGTCACACGTAGAGACCATGGTATTGACCGCCGCTATCGTTCCGTATTTTTCACCGTTCGTTTAACCAACTCCCTTCCGGTTGGCTCGTCTCGCTATGAAAAATTTCGTTCTCGTACCTACCGCACCGCAAACTACTGTCGGAATTCCTGAACGCTCATCCCCACCCTTTTTCACCCGGTTCCAAATGCGTGATAAATACCAGCTGTTAAGGATGTATTGGCTATACAGTCAATCCCAAAAGCTTATGCACTTTAGAAACGCATTTTTTAAAAAGAAATCAGACGTCGGAAGAACATTGCTAATAATAAACAACAAAAAAAAAATGTTTTTTCGATCACTCTCACATTTTCCATCGAAAATGTTAATTATAATCAATTGCCAAAAATCTCTTTCGATTTTTTATCTCTGACAATTAAATATACATAAAATAAAGACAAACGTATTGTCAACAATTTCCATTTTTCAAAACGAGTCAGACTAATCCACATCTCCGAATAGGAAATTCCGTGACCGCATCGGCGCGTAGTTTCTGCGCAGTTTGCGCCATACAAAATCGTCATCTCGCCGCGCTATCCATCAATGGAAGAATACAAATTGCTCGTTGAACTCGTATAAAAGGGAATAAAACAATAAGCGTGTCGAACCGAAACTGCCAATCTCTGAAAGCGCACGGCCGCTCCTGGCGGCGATCCAGCTCGCCTTATTTTCCACCCTCCGTTTCCTTAGTCACGGGGACGGGGATGCAGATCCCGGGCAAGATTCCGTGCAGTCATAAATCTTTTAATTTCTCCTCGCAACGGACGGAACCTAGGGAGAGTGAGAGATTAACGTGCCCGTTTTGAAAGCTACCGTCTTCCCTGTAAACCAAACACTTCCACTTTCCGGTAACGTATCGAGTTCATTTCTATCAAGAGGATATTCGCCTCGCTCGGCGCGCGCCGTCTTATCGTTGGACTCTCTCAGGGGCTGGAAAAATCTTCCGCCTCGGTGGAACGTGCCCCCGTACTTAAGAGAAACGAAATAGCTTCATATCGCTATAAATCAGCCAGTGATTTATCGAGCGGCGAACGACGTTCCGCCACCGACCGCGGTACATCATTTCGGCAAAATACGAAATTCCTAGCGACGAGGTGCAGAAGAGAAACTTCCAAAACACCTCGGTTGAAAAAGATTTTATATTACGAACACGGTGTTCAGTGAAAATTGAAAACTGTAACGATCTTTCTCCCACTGAAATTCCTACCTACGTTTCGTTTTTTAAATTGATCTTAAAAATGTTTCATTAAATATCCACGCTCTCTATCAGTGTGTATCATAAATTGAATGTAGTTCGGCATTTGTTTCGTAGTACGTTCGGCTGTGCTCTTTGTAAACTGTCCTGAGACAAAGTCCTAAGCTGTCACTACGGCGACGGTAGAAAAATGTGGAACGACACAGTCGCGCCGGTATTACGGAACGGTGATCGCAGAAAATGCAAGATGCGAGTAAACCGGCTGTACACCGGCGCGGTGCATCGTGGAACAGTTCGATTTCTGATATACGGGACACATTTAGATAGGATTCAACCTCAAGTGGCATCGGCAACGTACCAAAGCACCTCCGCCTCGCTTGTCCGCTTCTTCGTCGCGGTGAACTTGATGTATAATCTCGGCTTTCTTTATCTGCCCCCCCCCCCCGCACACCCTGTACCGCGGTTTTTCTACCGACGGCCCCACCTTTCATTCCTTCCCGTTTCCCTGTTCTGACTTCCTCCTACCACGAACAAAGGCAATGAAATTCCTTCTTTTCGCGTTTGTTCTCGCGACGCAGCCTGCATTCCGATAAAGGGTGGTCCGTTAAACATTCGAAACCACCAGAGCTTAGAATTCAATGATAAAATAGTTGATCTCAATGTCAGTTCTTCTATTCGTTAGCTATTCATTGTAAGAAAGTCAACGATTAGAGATCGTTTGACGATGCACGCTTACGTATAGTAGCATAGTTTTTATTATTTAAAGACCTGCGGTCAAGAAACTTCGCCAGACGACGCTTTGAAAAAGATCGGCTTGCAGCAAATTAGTGAGTAAGATACACTGGTGAAGTACATATTGATACTATCGCGCAACAATTATAAAGCTGTCAACTTCACACTCGACGAAGCGCGAGAAGCTGATAGCGAGGTGCCCGCTGCAAATTAAACAGCGAGAAGTCGGCATTCAATAAATAACTGCATTTTTTTTTCTACACTCTTTATTACTCGGCAATTATCTTTGAAAGGATTTACAATCTGCAAATGTGCCTAACAACGCCAGACGTTTATTATATTACGCCACCTAATTACCGCTTACTTAGCTGTTTTAAGTTTATTCAGCCTTGAATTATAGACTGCGTGGCAAAGGGATAAAACTATAATCATAGCTGTTTGCCTTCTGAAAAAAAAATGTACGTGTACATTATGCATGCGTGGCGTTGGCTCCACTCTTATCATTGTGCATATTTATTATTCAGCTTGTATTATATATAACGTGCACGTCACGTTTTTATACGCTGTAAATGTAACACGAAACAATGAGAGAGACTTGCGAGAGGTTGAAAATTGTATCTACTGTTTCGATAATTGTAACACTTTTTCTAGCCGACTATCGTTATTATCGGAGCAGCTCGTATAAAATCCGGGTTAAACAAATCTCAATTCGTCGTTTTTTGTCTATAATTGAAACAGTTCTTTTCAAGTGACAGTCATTGTTGGCCCGCTCTGAGCACTGTATATCTATACGTTCTTTCGCCGGCG